TTGAATAGACTTTGACCAGAGGTTCCATCCCACTGCACCAGTTGTCTTGAAGGTTCTTGAGTTCCTGAACTGGGGCTTACTTGCAATAGAGAGTATAAAACATTTTTTCTTGCTTAAAATTATCATAAAAAAAAAATTTTTAACAAAACGGACGTGATTAAGAGAGAGTTTTTTTTTTTGGAGAAAGAGTTTTTTTATTTATTAATAATTTATTTAATTATATAATTATTTTATATAAAATTTAAAACTTTTTTTTTTAAAATCTTTTAAAAATTTTTTATTTATATTTTTTAATAAAAGAAATTTAATTATATATTTTTTTAATTTTTATATAATATAATATTTTATTTTAAGTTTTAAAAAATAATTATATATATTTAATTTTATAAATTTAATGGTTTTCTTATTTAATTATTAATTAAGATATAAAATTAAAAAAATTATAAGTTGTGTTATATATATTTTAATAAAATAAAATATTATATTATATTAATTTATTGATTTATTATATATATTTAATTATAGAAAATATTTGAACGTCAAGTAAAAATCGATCAAGATTATATGCTATAAATATTATTGTTTATATTTTTGAAACTGTATTGTTGACAAATTTGTTTGCAATTTAAATTTGTCAAAAATTGGACTTATATATTAAAAAATAATATTTTATACAGTTGGTTTTATGATATATTAATTTGAAAACAAAAATAATGCGTAATTAAATAAATTACGTAAATATAGAAATGTATGTGCAGTATATACAGTATGTTGATTTTTACAATCGAAATTTTATTTATTAAATGGTAAAAAACCAGTTTAAAATTATCTTATTTTATTATTTTTATAAATTTGTTAAATAATTTTAGCAGAGCCCACGCATTTAATTCAAGAGTTGACATATAAGGTAGAAATTTAGGTTACATTATTTGTTATCGAATTCTCCAATGTACGTTTTTATATGGATTTTTATTTAATTACCATAAATGGCAAACAAAAGCTGCTCGTATCATTGGCGCAATCAATTATAAACCTGCAAGCGACCTGATCTAACAAATACGAACATAAAACGGTTCAGAGTTTATTGATGCAATGTCTAATAATAACATTCATATGTGCATTAATGGTGCCAGGCGAGGTGATTTTTAGCAATTGCACGTAACAAATAACAACATAATTATTTCCTTTGCTTAAACTTGAGAGATGAAACACCGTAGTGAAAGCAGATGTGCCCCTTACATTAGATCTCTGCCACGCAAAGAATCTGTGCAATGCTTTGATGTACCAATATGCACGAACTTTTTCTGTTTCATCATCATTTTTTTGTATATTTGACCGCATGACCTGTGTAAATAAACCAAATTGTGTTACTATGGATTTTTTTTTTTTTTCTCATTCCTTATATACCCTAAAAAGATTTGATTCTATTTTAAAATTGTTATCCGTTTCGAATTCTCTACATTTTTCTTGAATTCTTTCTATAGAACCACGTCACACCTAACGGTTAGTCTATCTCTTTTTCTTGGAGTTCTTGAGTTTGTGTGTATAGGCATCATAAATAATGGGATGTTTGTATTTTGGCACACAAAAGGAAAACCTTCGCGTTTCGTTTGTCTAAGGCGCTGGGTGCTATTAGACTATTTGTTCAAATCACGAAAGCCTTTAATCGAATCGCGTGTATAAACAAAAATGACCGAAAAGAGTTACGATACCGATAACAAACACATTGCACAGCTCTCTCAAAATGTAGAGGAGGTTCAAATGCAAAAGGTTCACAATGCACCTCTTGATTCATCAGTTCAATATCAACTTGAACCTTTGGTCAATCAAAGTCGTGATCACCTTTTTAAAAATGTAAGCACGGCTTCATCCCCAACAGAATCTTCTCACAACGAAAGCGTATCACGTGGAATTAACATCTCTGGATCACATGATCAAAATGAGAAAAATTGGCCCACACCACCAACATATAGCAGATCTGACGGAAAACATACAGACGATGGTCATTTAATGGAAGCAGGCTTGTCGGGAGTAAATGCTACTGAAATTGATGAGGTAAAAGAAGGCTTGCAGACTGACAAGCAAATTAGAATGGGTGAGTTTTTTCATTATCCGAGTATTTTTGTTATGATCGAAATTAATCTCCCTTATAATAATTCTATTATAGCCTTTGTGAGGAAAGTTTACTTCCTTCTTTCCCTTCAATTATTATGTACGGTTTTGATATCCGTGTTATTTACGGTCAACAAAACCGTGTCGGATTATGTGCAAAATCAGTAAGCATTTTTATACAAAAAAAAATTTTTTTTAACTTGGGAATTCGTATTTACATGACAATTTTTATTTCAAAGTCCAGCGCTTTTCTTTATCTCATGGATTCTAGCTCTTATAGCATTGGTAGTATTGTTTTGGCAGCGCAAGAGATATCCTCTAAATATAGTTCTCCTGTTTACGTTCACATTGATTGCCTCGTATAGTATAGGCACAGTAGGTATGATACCCCTAGTTTGTTTTTTTTATATGATAAATTGCTTTTTTCTTGTGCTAAATTCTTTTACAATTTAAATTTCTTTTCCTCATTCTAAAAAGTATCCATGTACAGTGCCAAGATAGTCATACAATCATTGTTAATAACGCTTGGCGTCTTCGTGGCTTTGCAAGTTTTCACATTACAATCAAAGTTTGATTTTTCATCATGGGGTCCTTTCCTATATGCTTTCCTTTGGGCTTTGATAGTTACTATGATGATTGGATTTATACTTCCATTTGATCGAAGCTTCCACATTCTTATTAGCGCAGGGGCCGCATTGCTTTTTAGTGCATATATTATATATGATACATACATGATATTCAAGAGAATGAACCCTGAAGGTAAGTGTTATATTTGTGTCCTTTTTTTTGTGTGGTTTTTATTCTTCTTTCAATTAATTAATTATTTTTTTTTTGATACTTAGAATATATAGTAGCAGTAGTGGAATTGTATCTTGATATACTCAATATTTTTGCCGTGATTACGACCATTATTGGTGGTACTTGTGAGGCGTCATCATAAACACACTTATAATTACTTTATACAGCATTTATTATTGGAATAATATTATCGGATTGTAAAATATTAAAATATAACACCAAACAGTAAAATAATATATGAATTATTAAAAATTGCAATATCCTTCTGGAAAAGGAGATCATAAGAGTATTCGAAACTATCCTTAAGTTATTATCGTTCGTGACAATAAGTTATCATTTGAGGAAGGTGTTGATTAAAGTAAAAAGGTTTTAATATGATTGTCTTACATCAGCGATAATTTTAAGGAACGTCGTGAGCGCAAGTTGTTAGTGTCAATACGAAGAGAACAGTTGCATAGACAGCCCCACACAACTTAAATGAACTTGTATTTTTTCTGTTGCGTACATAATAAAAAAAATTAAATCCCATTACATCCTGTGGAACTTTCTCCCTTAATTATCATTAATCTATTAATTATTTAACAGTTTAAGTCAAGTACATTTAATTAAACTCCGGCACTTGGTTATTAAAGTCTCCTGGGCTTTTTCGACAAGTAATGGAATTCATAAGGAATTATTTTGTAAAATCATGTATACAGACTTCCCTTAAATGTAAATGATCAATGATCAATGAAACATCTCTCTGATAGGTTATTTTTATCACTTAGATGTGTCATCTATTAATATAATGCATCTTTATTTTTTGTTACTTTTTTTAAGTGGGCTGAAATTATTCAAGCCTATAAATAAAAAATTTTATCCGGCCCAATATCATTTCATATTATTGTGTATTAATTATTATATGGTCATATTAAAAAAAAAACATTTTTTTTTGTAACAAATAAAATGAAAACAAATGATTACGTTATTTACTGCATATTCACAATATATCAAAGTTATGTTTATTGTTAAAAAAAAATCATTAAAATCCTATATTACGTAATTGATTTTTTGATTTTTGATTTTATAATATGACTTAAATAAAAAAAAAGGCTTGATTAAAAAAATCAATCATTTATTATAAGAAATATTAATTAAAATTAAATTAAATAAAATAAAGTATAGTTTAATCTATATATTCAAATATAATTTTATTATAATAATAATTGAACTTGTTTAAGATATAGTATAATTCAATTTGTATATTTAAATATACAGTAATTGTTTTCTTTTTTAAATAATTATTATACTATTATATCTTTTTTAAAAATTATAATTTTAATATTTGCTAAATTAAAAAATAATATCAAATAAGTTATAACATCAAATATCCTATTAATTCTATTTAATTGCTTTTATTTAAAATTAAATTAGTATTTTGTAATTTGAATTTAAAAGTATTAACTATTGTATTATTAATTTACAAGTCAATATAAATATTTTATTTTATAAATATATTTTAATTTTTTATATTAATTTAAATATGATTTTTAATTATTTACTATATATTATTTAGTAATTTTGATAAAGTATGGTTTTTGAAAATGACTAAATTTAATTTTATTATACAGTCAAACCTTTTTATACCAATATGATTGGTATTTTTAGCAAAAAATATCGGTATATAAAATTTTATTATAAATATCAGTATATAAAATCAATTTAATTAAAGGTGGTTTTTTTTTTTTAGAATATCGGTATAAAGAAAATATATCGGTATAAAAAAATGACTTTAATTAAGAATGGTTTTGAGAAAAATATCGGTATAGTGAGATTTTAATAGGTATTGGTATAAAAAATATTGGTATAAAGAGGTTTGACTGTATATTAGTAAAAAAAACAAGTTTTTCATTTTAATTTTTTAGTTAGTTCTATTTAAATAAAATTAAATAGCTATTCAATAATTTCTATAAACTAAGTTATATCTAATTCAAATCTGATTCGATTTGAATTTGATCAGATTAAAAATTTTAAAATTCAATTCAATTTAATTCATATCCAATTTGCAGATTAGTCAAATTTGGATAAAAACTATAATTACCAGTATTAGCTACTACATTTGTTTTTTTCAGATTTGTATTTTACCATAAAGTCATTTACTTGAAGTATTTTCAACTAGCAAGCTTGTTAGTAAAATAAGTTTTGTTAAGTTTTATTAAATTCCAGAAAAGCATAATTAGTAATAATTATAAATTGTTGTCTTTCAAGATATGATCTTCACAACTTAATAGTATAGACAATAGCCAGAAGTTCTTTTTTATATATAAAGTAGTTTCATTCAATTGGGGAAAGTTTCCTTAACTCAAATATAACAGGTTGTTTACCTTTTCCTTAATTTTGAGAGAGTATAGCATCTTTTGCAAAATTAGAAGCATCAGTGGTTGATGTAAAGGGTTTGGAAAAATTTAAAAGAAGTACAGGTATGATAATGAGATGATTTTTTATTTATCAAAAAATTTTTTTTGAGTCAGTTCTTATTGATATATTGTATTCTTGTACAAGAGAGCAGTAAATAATAAAGCAATAGCCAAAAATCCTTGTACAAATCTTTTATAATAGTTGATAAGTCCTAAAAAAGATCTCAATAGATATATTGATTGGTGCAGACTATTTACAAATAATATTAATTACAATTATTTTAATATTGTAATGAAATAATTAATTCCATTATATTATTTAATTATTATTATTATTTTATTATTATTATTTTAGCTTCTTTTGATATTATTT